AATGCAATTGAATCCCTCACCAGAATTTGCTGCCTACCTCTGCCTACATACACCTCTAACTTCTTAAACAAGTAAATCCTTCTTTCACTTGCAGCTGCTGCATATATATTATAAATATTATAATATGATATATTTTATATATATATATTAAAACTCTCTTTTTCTTTTCAAACTTCACCACCACCTGTTGCAGTCTCACTTCCACAATCACTTGCACTTGCCACACTTCCACTTCCTCACTTGTGAGCAATATCATGACTCCAGCCACTTTGTTTACATCTGATCCTGCCCACCACAATTGTCCCCATCCCCATTTCTTTACAAAACACTTGTAATCCCTCTCCCCTGGGATTCCATACTCCTGTAAACATGTTCACTTTAACCCCACTCAACAGTGGCATAATCTTATCCGACCTCTTCCTCGATAACACACTTCTGACATTTATAGATGCAATACACAAAGTCATGCTTGTCCATTTAAATTACACATCTCTACCACTTTACAAGTCTTCTGTGCTGCTGCTTGACTCAGCTGGCTCTAATCCTCCCCCTCTTCACATCCCCATAGTCTTTGCCAATTGTTTTACTGCTTTGATATTCAAGAAAGCCTCCCCTTTTCTTTTCCCCCACCTTTCTGCTTCCCCTCTTCCCCTCTCCTCTCTCCATTAGTCCCTGACCATATTAGCTCCAATGAACTTTTTGTCAACCTGTCTCCCTTGCCCACTCTCTCTATCTGCAGACTTTTTTCTAAGTTTCATAGCATGTGATTTCGTTCTTTTCCCAATTTGGCTCCTTTCTTTCTCCTGCTCTAACCTCATTCCTCCATCTTCTTCCTGTACCATTCTCTCCTCTTTCTTTTCTTTCTCCTCTGTCTCAAAGTCACTTGTTCCACTTATCTTTCCTTCTTTCCCCTCCTCTTTTGCTAGCTGAGCTGCTTCAGCTACTGAAATTTCACTCTTTTCCTCCCTGGCTTTTCCTTCTTGTAACATCTCTTCCACTGTCATGCATTCTGATTCAACATCTTCCCCACGTTCCCATCGCCACTGTAGCTGTCCCTTTTCCCTGCAAATAACACACTTCAGTACTTCTTAGCACTCCACTATCCTGTGCTCTTTCCTTTCATTTCTGTAGCACACTGTATACCAGCAGTATGCAGCCAGGTGTCATTCCTGCCCACACTTGCTACAGAGTTTAGACTGTCCAAAGTACATTGTAAACCATCGATACAGCCCTACTTGGATTACTGGCAGTAAGTGCATTATCCTGCCAGGATTCCCCTCATCTGCCCTCACTACCACTCGGGCTCTCCATAATCCTTTCCATTTCCATATTTATTGCCAGGGATCCTGGTTTTCTCTGTTTAAAAATTGCAACTTCTCTGACAAAAATCCTAAATTCTCTGATTAAACCCCCCCAAAATCTGTGTTTTTCCATAATTAAAATGAAACACCACTACATCAGTAGCTATCATTTTAACACAATGTTGTATTGATGTATTTACAATTTGAAAACAATTTGGAAGCCCACCAGTACCTCAATCATTTATAATAATGATTATTCCATTCCTTGTTCATCAGGACAAGGTGTTAAAGACATTTTGCCTAGCCTTTGATTAAGAAATGTTTTGTTGCATTTCATTTATCACAACTAAATTCCAACTGCCAATGGTGAAAAGAATAATAGAAATTAATAATTGTTTCTTCTCCAAGTACATTGCATAATATTCCTGGCTCAGAATGGCTACCATCTTTCCAAATTGATGGTGACTTTACTCCACTGTTGAAGCAGAGAAAAAAAAGAGTGATACATAAAAAGAGAAATATGAACTTAATTTTTGGAGAATATGTATGACCTTGAGGTTGCTAATTATGCTATCTGGAACCATCAATAGTGTTTTTATTTCAAACACTGAATTTTAGAAATAATGTATTCATTCATAGGCAGGGCTTGAATCTTAGCATAGGACCAGGACACAGATACTCCTAAATTCCTGTCCATCTCTTCAAATATGGAAGTCTCTTGTTTCAGCTTTTTAAAGTGTGGCATCTGTCAGTACTACTAGTGTAACAAACCTAAGTGATTTATTGGTTTGAAAATTAAATCCTTCCCTGCACTAACATCATTCCTCTGCAGTGTGTTTCTGAAATCTCATATCATTCTTCTGCATGATTTACTTTTCACTGGGTTTTATGGCTCTTTCTGGAATTTTTTACTCCCTACAGGCAGCCAGCTTTATTCCTAGACTCCTGCTTTATTCCAAGCCATGATGTCTTCCTTTAGGCTTTCAAATGGTGTCCGACAACCTCATTCTAAATAAACCTTTATGTTCATATACATTTTACAGCACAATGGCAAATCAATCATCTAGAAAATAGCTTGGTAACACTTCTGTCAAAGCATTCTGGGAAATCATTTATTTTTTTATGGCTGACTATGGCCTAGAGACATGCAGATGGAGAAATATATAAATTACTGCAAATAATTTGAAAAAGCCATTTCTACCAGATTGTGCATCATCTGCTAGTCAGTGGGAAAGACTTTAGCACACCAAATTATTTATTTAGATTTGTACAAATGCCAAAAAGGGCATTTATCCAGATGTTTTTGGTACTTGTAGCATAACTAGAAATACATCACAAATATTGTCTTAAAAACATAGCTGTATAATTCGATATAAACCACCACCAAGAAGTAAGATGATCTAACAAGCTTAATTACCCCACCTGTCTCAATTATTCACCCTTATGATTCTTCTGATTTTGAAATGCCTGTGAAAAAGGATCCATTTCGTAGCTTGTTCTTAAGTGTTAAATGGAGAAGCATAATCTAACTATATCCAAAATAGGCATACTTTGAAGCTCAAGAAAAAGTATACATGTGCGGACATGTGTATATGTGTTATTACATCATTTTAGTCCTTATGTCAGGATGTACAGGTCATATTATTTGACTTCCAAGAAGTAAAGTGGTATCTCACTACCCAGAACTCACCCAGAACTTGGGACTGAAGGTATAATCTGGCACTCAGAGGGAAAGGTGAGTACAAAGGTTTAGTCCATAGAGTAATATTCTGTTGCAAATATCTAAAAAGTAATGTTATAACATCTCTTTGATGTTTATACATGTCTTGGTACATTGGAGTCCTGGTACATTATCAAGGCTCTTGGGGCTCATAGAAACATAGACAAGGTGGGCTGGAAAGGGCCTTAGGGCTGTTCAAATTTGCTGATGATACCAAAATTTGGGGTGAGGTGGGCATGCTAGTAGGCAGGGAAAGACTGCAGCAAGACCTGGATAGGTTGCAGGGGTGGGCTAACAAAAACAGGATGCGTTTCAATACGGACAAGTGAAGGGTGCTGCACTTGGGCAGTAGTAACCGGCAACACACTTATAAGATGGGAAACTCCCTTCTTGAGAGCACGGAGGCAGAAAGGGATCTTGGAGTCATCACTGACTCCAAGATTAACATGGGCCGACAATGCGAGGTCACGGTCAGCAGGGCTAACCGGACCCTATTGTGCATTCACAGGTGCATCTCAAGTAGGGCCAAGGAGGTGATTCTCCCCCTCTATGGGACACTGGTCAGGCCACAGCTGGAGTACTGTGTCCAGTTCTGGGCACCCCACTTCAAGAGGGATGTGGACAACATTGAGAGGGTCCAGAGGAGGGCCACCCGCATGATCCGGGGACAACAGGGCACACCCTACAATGAGAGGCTACGCGACCTGAACCTGTTCAGCCTTCACAAGAGAAGGCTGAGGGGGGACCTTGTGACTGTCTATAAACTCACTAGGGGGGACCAGAAGGGTTTGGGGGAGACCTTGTTTCCCCTAGCGCCCCCCAGGATAACAAGGAATAATGGCCACAAGTTGTTGGAGAGTAGGTTTAGATTAGACATCCGTATACCTGGCTGGGGACACTTGAGCCCAGTTTCCTTCCTGCCCAGGCAGGGGGTCGGACTTGAAGATCTACAAGGTCCCTTCCGACCCTACTTCTATGATTCTATGATCCCCACAAGCATGCATATGCATTCTGTGGCACCTTAATGCTGTTTGAGGAACTGCAAACTGCACACAGTGCATGTAGGTATGACTTCCCTCTCCCCAAACACAAACTTCATCCCTCTTTGAGCACTTCCTCTACTCTATTCCCCCTCCTCCTCTCCAGCAGGTGTTGCTTCTGGGTCTAGGAAGAGGGGACCCATCTGTCACTGCTGCTGTCCTTGATTGACCAGGGATGGTGGAAGCACCAGAGCTGCTCCTGCACCAATCCAGCTGGAGGCTGCAGTGAGCAGCTACACAGGGTGCTGGGCTCTAATAGGGACAGTAGCAGTGGTAGGCAGTTCTCCCCTTCCAACACCTGCTCCCAGTCTGTTCCCCTGGGTGTCCCCAAATAGCTGGGAGCAGGCGCTGGATGCAGGGAACCTGAATGCACTGCTGTCATTCCCAGGTCATCCCAGTACCCCTGTAACCACTCCCCACAGCTGAAGCACCTGGGTGGGTCAGGGGAACCTGAGGGAGGGAACACAGAGCAGGAACCTGCTTGCTATCACTAAGCCCAGCACCCTGTGCAGCCACTCCTAGCAGCCCCCAGCTAGATTGGGGCTCAAGCAGCCTGGGGCTTCCCCTGCCCCCAGTCAGCTGGAAACAGCAGCTGTGGCAGATAGGACCCCCCTTTCCTCACTTGTTCCTTGTTTGGTTCTCCCAGGTATTCCCAGCAGCTCAGGGCTCCAGCTGCATCTCAGATTCCACAAGGGGACCCACACATCTCCAGATGCATGGAACTGAAGATGTCAGGAGGTGAGTTGCGCTAGTGAAAGGAAGTGTGACTGTGCCACTACCCCCCCCCCCCCATATTATATCTGCCCCTGCTACACATATCTCCTTTAGCAGTCTAACAGATTTCAGTACATAATAATAGATGACTACACAGAAATACTGCAAGATAACAGTACCAAAATAGGATTACAGGTTCCTATCTGGAAAGACACCATTTCTTACCTGTGACTGTTGGTGATTTCTATAATAGTCACTCACATTAAAATCACCCAGCTCAACCACCAGGCTCTGCTTACACAGCTCACAATTTTTTACTGTCTCCAGATCTGCACCTGAAATGAAATAGACAGTATGGGCGTGTCAACACATCACCCTACGTCGCTGAAGTGATGCACTACATCGCTGTATGATGTACTCCAGTGACATAGTGATCACTAGGGCTGCGTGAAGCTTTGGTCCCTGATTTGATTTGGCCTGATTCAGCGGCTGAATCTCCGAATCTGAATTGAATCAGAGGACCCTTTAATCTCTCTGAATTGAAACGGAACCCTCTGAATTGATGCAGAGAGATTCAGAGATTCGGACATAGACACAGCTTTAAATGTTTTTTCTACATACCTCTAGGTACCAGGCGGCCCATGAATGCTGCAATGCTGGGGTGCATGGAGTGTCCCAGAGGAGCATGGGGGGACTTCCCAGTGCACTCGGCAGCAGACCCAAAGTGGACCAGATGCACTGGTCCCTCCACGGCTGATTGCTGAGCCAGGGGGGGCATGGGTGGGGGGCCCAGACAGACCCAGAAATGGACTGGAAGTACTTCCTGTCCACTTCTGTGTTCACCGCCAAGCATGTGGAGGACCCCCCCTCCCCCCCACTGTCCTATGGGATGTTTCATGCACCCCAGCATCACAGCATTTATAAACCATGCTGGTACCTCGAGGTATGTAGAAAAAACTTTTAAAGCTGTGTCTGTGTCTGAATCATTGATTGTCCGAATCAGTATCGAATCTTCAGGTTTAGATTCGGCCAAATCGAATCAGGGACAGTGATCTGAATCAACAAACTGAATCACTGTCCCTGATTTGGTGTGAATCCAAATTGAATAGGGCCCGCTTTTTATACCCCTAGTGATCATGTGAGTCTACAAGTGACCAGCAGCTACTTCGCCCTAGCGGTGCGCTCCCCTGTTTTAGCACACCATTACAACAAAGTAAAGGTTAAAACTAACCATGCACCATGCGCGTGGTGCAGTATGAGTGGTTACTGTGCCATGCTATAGTACTTGCAAAAGGAAGTATTAAAAGCATGGTGCAGTAACAACATCACCATAGGGCAATGTGTAGATGTGCCTTATGTGTAACTTATAAGTCTATATTGTACATAGATAGATGATACTATTAGATAGTCTCTGCATATTATAAATCACTACTATGGAGAAATTTTATATTAAAGCTATTTTCTATACAAGTTTGCTAGCCTTATATCTAAGTTCCACTGAACTCTATTCTAATCATCCCTATTATGTGTACTTAGTAAAAACATCATGTAATACCGTGGAATTTAATAATACTATCTATTAAGTCCCATGTGATGTACAACAATTTACAAGTGTAACTATTCTTGGGTACAAATGCAGGAGACATGAGGTACAGATGTTTAACAATATAGTTTGTTTGACAAAGAATAATTATATTATGATTTCTTACATCATTTTTTTAAAAACAAGTGTATACAGTTAATGTAACTGGCCATTTGGTCCAGATCTTCAAGAGCTGAGTATCCACAATTGTGATCTAATTTTAAAAAAAGCTCATTTACCTTATAGGTACCTAAATAAAGGTCACACCCTCAACATGCTCAGCAAAATTATTCTTCCATGACTCTTATTGATAAGTTTTCAAAATAGTTCAGCATCTGACATAAACTCAGTTTGTTTAGATCTACTGTATGTGAAATTTGACCACTTATCTGAGAAGTGAATTCTTCTGAAAATCTGGCTCTAATTTGTGTGTGTATGTCTTGGAGACCAACTGACTTGACCCACCACTGATTTGATGGAATGATGTGAAAAATACTCCCCTTGCTTGCTTGCTACTTAGGACAGTATGCATTTCATTCAGTAGAAAAATAAACAAGCAACAACTCCATAGACTTGAAAATGATGAATAAGCTCTAGCCCAGTGGGTCTGGTCTCCTTCTCCTGGCTACTTCACTAGAGAGACCTCTAGTTGCTCAGACATTCACTGATTGGAACTCGAAGCTCCTCATTTGAGATGATACAAAGTCACCTTGTTTATAGTTCAAAGACCATTGTTTAAATACAACCACTCCAAAAAATCAGCAGACCACTTATACTTGTGTTTATTTTTAATATTTTGGGCTCCTTTTAACTGAGGTCAAGAAGAATTCTTCCATTGATTTTAGGGGAAGTAAGACTAGACTCTTTGTCTGTTCTTCCTTTGACTACAGAATGATTTCTTTACATTCTTAAGCAGTTTCATTTACTTCACTATGAGATAGTAGTGAAGAAAAACAGAA